ACGGGCCGTGTCACACAACACGGCCACCCGTGTCACACAACACGGCCACCCGTGTCACACCTCTGTTTAACTTTTTTTGGCCCAGACCTTGTGACATGGGCCGTGTCATGCAACACGGGCGGCCGTGTCACACCTCTGTTTAACCTTTTTGGCCCAGACCTTGTGACACGGGCCGTGTCATGCAACACGGGCGACCGTGTTACACCGCTGTTTAAGTTTTTCTGCATTTTTCCCCCAAACCTTGTGACACGGGCCGTGTCATGCAACACGGGCGGCCGTGTCACGCCGCTGTTTGCCTCAAAAACCTGATTTCTCTGGAACTGTGACACGGGCCGTGTCACACAACACGGCCGCCCGTGTCAGACCCCTGTTTTTCACGTTTTTTCGACTTTTTTACCTCAAAATTTTTTTCTCAAGGAGTTCGTCGCCGTTTTTTTTGTGTTTTGTTTTTTTTTAAAGCCGGTTAACCCGTTGTGATTGTTTGGTTCTTATGCATGTTTATTGTTTGTCATTTTTGACCTTTGGTTCTAAAAACCATTTTCAAAAAAACAAACTCTCGATTCTCATCGAGCCATTTTTGACCTTGTAAGTCAATTGCCTTGTGCGTCGCCATCGACCTTGCTCGCTTCACCTCAAATCTTTTTAAGCAACTAAAACCCTTGACCCAACGTCAAGCGGATTTTCTCAAATAATGGTTAAACCGACTCACCATATTTAACAAAAGGATAAAGTTCACTTTGTATTGAACTAAAGAGAGGGGATTGAGTGTAGACTTCTTCCTCTCCGAGTGTCGAGATGCTCACTGTAGTGTAGGTGGTTTTGACACTCGTCTTTCAATACGAAGATGTTTTCATCCACACCTTTTTTCTCCTAAAAAAAACCTCGGCCCCGTACCGAGTGCATTTTCAAAACACTTACAATAAATAAATCGATTATCTTTGTATTGAACTAAAGAGAGAGGATTGAGTGTAGACTTCTTCCTCTCCGAGTGTTGGGATATTCACTGTAGTGTGGGTGGTCTCGATACTCGTCTTTCAATACGAAGACGTGACTTTATCCGCCACTTATCTCCTTCTACAACTTCCTTCCGCAACTTTCCCCACCTAAAATCTCGGTCCTGCACCGAGCGCATTTTCAAACTTATTTTCATAATAAAACTTGAATGGTCATGGAGTGGTTAGGCGTAGGTCTTCTCCTATCCCGAGTGCTGACGTTTACCGTAGGGTTCTCCGTCGCAAAAGCACTTACCATTCAAAACCAAAAACACTTTAATAAGAGAATGAAGTTCTCTTTGTATTGAACTAAAGAGAGAGGATTAAGTGTAGACTTCTTCCTCTCCGAGTGTCGAGATGCTCACTGTAGTGTGTGTGGTTTTGATACTCGTCTTTCAATCCGAAGACGCTATGTTCGCCACACCTTTTCATAACAAAAACTTTGAGATAAAGAATTGGGTACTACCCGTAGGGGTTACTATCCGAGGACCTATCTCGCCCCTAAAAAAAACAATTCAACAAATCAAATGTGACATCTTGCCTCGCATGGCGAAAACTAATCTTTCAAAAAAGATATGATACGTCCGTTCTACCGCAAACAGGTAATGCCTAAGTCTCCAACGAGCGAGCAGCAATACACCTAACTGCTAGAATGCGTACGATAGCATCATCCATAAAGTCATCAACAAATCGTAGGCCGAACTACGGCTGCTCTGATTTCTCATACCAGATGAGAATACGTAGGCACAAGACGACGATGTCTTGGCGAGCACAATTTCCCCTATCACCCGTAGTTTCCTGAACTACGTCGACTCTGACTTTCTCATATCCGTTGAGAATACGTAGGCCTAGGACCGCGAAGTCCTACCGAGTTCGTTCTTTCCCTTCTTCCCCCCGTTACCTTTCTTTCCCCGTTTCAAAACCCTTTTCTGTATCTTTTGGAACACTCTTCATAGCATAATCTTTTAGCAAATAAATCACACACGACAAATAAATGGTTCCCATCGGGTACGATGGATGCGAGGGGTGCTAATACCTTCCCTTCGCATAACCGGCTTCTGAACCCGTTCATGGTTGCGAGACCATCTTATCCGTTCTTTTCTTAAGGTTTTCTCGATATTTTCCTTTCCCCTCATGGGATAAATAAAGTTCGGTGGTGACTCTTCTGTCCTTTTCTTTTTCGCCTTCCCCGTCGTTGCGCGTATTTTTCGAGTAGTGACATGTATCACTTCATAAACCTTAACTAATTAATTTAAAAAGCTCCCTCTAACAAGTTGATTAGAACAAAACTTAGCTAATTCATCATCTATATCATCATACAACAAAATCAATTTAACTGATATCTTCAAATTCTAGGACATTAAATCACCGAATTTTACACTTATTTATATTAATAACACCTCAATTTCTATAGTTATATAAAATTTTAATTTGAAAAGCATGACATTAAATTGGAACCGTCATGCATTGTTAGAGTGGAAAAACATATTAGAATTCTTAGAAGTATCATAAATATTAGTATACAGTATTGTTGGTCCATATAAGATATATGTCTATCATTAACCTTAAACCTTAAATATTGTCTGAAAAAAATATATGAAAAGTTGATTGACTATTTAATAAAAGTAATAACTTAATAATTGAATGAGTTAATGTTCATAGTTAAATATGAATTGAACTAAAGTAATGGTAGTTGACATAGAATTAACTAACTTTACAAAGACTAATATACAACAGGGCATTTCAATGCCAAGTATAGGGCTGGACAAAATAAAACCAACCGAAGTTAACCGACCGGACCGAATCCTATTGGGTATTCCGGGTCGGTTTATATTGGGTTAACGGGTCAGGCGGGTGACTATTTCGGTTTAACATGGATTACTTTGGGTCGGTTCGGATGGAAATATTGGACCCGTCGGTAACCGAACCCGACCGAGTCCAATTAATATATATTACAAATATTACTATTTTTTCACTCATTTTCTCAACATATTAAGAAACCCTAAATTCACTCTCTCGTTGCTCCACGGCCGCAGCAGGTGAAGAAGAGTCGCCGTGGACCGAGGTCGCGATGTTTGCAGTATCGTGGTGTTACGTTCTACCGGAGAACGGGAAGATGGGAATCACATATTTGGTTAGCAGTTTGATATTGATTATTCTCTTTCTTTGTAGTTTACTTCATTCAGTTTTCACTTCATTCAGTTTGATATTGTTTTTGAACTGAGGATCTTTCTTTGTAGTTGCCCCGGAAAAATGATTATAGTTACCATCACTACTTCCATATGTCGATGGGAAATGTATATGTTGCTGTTGCTGCTTATTAAGGTCTTGTATGTGAACTGAGGATCTTTCAATTTCTTGACTGATGGCATTAGAACCTGATGATGGTAATTTATTTTTATTACAGGTTGTGATTTACAAGGTATGTTACAAGTGGATGTATGGTCACCTTAAGGTGTTTTGAGTTTGTAAACAGGGCTGTTGAAGGTTGACGGCAAAGTGTGTTTGTTCGTGTTTTTTCACCGCGGTGATTATCGAACAATCGTATGTCGGAGCCTGAGATTCATGATTGAAGAAGAACAATGATTGTGCGAGAGAAGTATTTGCAGTGCGTGGTGGTTGCTGCACAATAGCTGATGCCGGTAACAACATGCTCGGGTCCTTTTGGAGCTTAACAACTTCTTTAAGACCATGATTATTTGCATAGCATGATTGTAACACTAAATAATGGCTACCTCAAATTGGAGATCACATGTATAATCTTGACATGTAATTTAAGATGTATGATCTCTGAATCGCAAAAAAAAGATCGTAAATTGCACCTCCTTCTTTGTAATTTCTAAGACTAACATTATTCATATTCTTCTTAGAACTTTTGTTATCACTTTTGTTATGTACCATGAAAATTAAGTTCTGCATAATGATTTTGCAGGTCATGTTGCTGTTACTTCGGGCTGTTTTTTGCAAGTTACGACACTATTATGGAGCACATAAATTGGAGGAGCATGGTGATGGGCAATTCTGGATCAATATGACAATACGAACCTGCGTTAATTTGTATGTATGCGACCACGGTTGGGCCAAGACTGGGAACGAGTAGCTGTTGGCGCTGCCTTTGCAAAGTTTTCTAGTCCTAAGCCAAGTTTTCTGTCCAAAGATTTACATAGGTATAAATTACAGTTATGTCAAAAAAAATGAGATTTTTTAAGATAAATTCGTCGAGGTTTAGTCCTTAATTTAGTGATTCTGTCATGCTCGTTTGTTCAGAACATCATTCGAACCTAGACTCTGGCGGCGCTTAAGTAACGACGGTGGAATCTTCGGTCAAAACATGGATGCTAGACTAGGATCAAGATGTATGTCTCAAAGAGATGCTTATCCATCAAGAATATCAGTATTAGACGAAAACCAAGATGTAAGTCACTCTTATTTCAATCATCAATGACAATAGTTTGAAAATTTTAAGCATGTATGAGAAAAAGCTAGGCTTATTGAACAGGCTGCATTGGATTTAGAAGAGATCAAGCAGAAAAAGCTTGATGCCCGAATTGGTGAAGGTGGATATGGACCTGTTTTCAAAGGAGTTCTTGATAACATTGATGTTGCAATGTGACCCATCTATGAACAATGTGATATGCATGTGTTTTTGTTTCTGTACATGTTTCATCTATCTATAGTTTATTCCATGGTTGTAGATTCTTTGGCCATTTTTTGTATAACTTTTCGATTGAATGCAGTGGTTTCTGATTACAATATTACATCTGCTGTAGAAATATTGAGAGTTTCTGGAATGTTGTCCAACCAAGGTTTTGGTGACTTTGATAGACATCAACATAGAAGTCCTAGTCCTATGGCGTCTTCAATGTCTAATGTCTCTGCGACAGGAATTGGTGCATGGAATAATCTATAGCAGGAGGTGACTTCTTTTAAATTATCAATTAACTGTTGCATTATAAAGTTGATATGCTCAAGTTTTTGTTATATTTGTATGTTTAGATGCACAATAATATGACTCTATGTGCGAGGTGTTTTGTTCGCGGAAGCTATAAAGTTGGGACGAGTAATACTGATTTCAAGAGAGTGGAGATAAGTGAGGAGACTAAGCCTGATTGGACTGAGAAGGAAACTCTGAAACTTCTTGAATGTATTACGAATTTCGGTGATGATTGGAAGAGGGTTTCTCATCTTGTTATTGGAAAGACTGATAAGGAATGTGTTTCTCATTTTCTCAAGCTTCCTTTTGGGGATCAGTTCACGCATTCTCAACGCTTCGAGTCTGCTCATATCGCTGATGATAGTTGTTCTGATCTGTTGAAGCCTTCCGTTAATGCTGGATGTGAATCAGAAACTGCTGGCTTGGGTAAATCTAGTAAGAGGATGCGTCTCACGCCTCTTGCTGATGCAAGCAATCCTATCATGGCTCAGGTTATTTTCTTGGCTTAAAGTGATCCTTGTTTTCTTTGAATTATCGCTAATTAACTTCATTTGATTACGTTTAGCAACAAAGAATCATGATGTGTGCTATATAACGATCCTTGTTTTCTTTGAATTATTATTGATCTGTGTTGAATATGAACCGTGTTGAAGGGTGGATGATTTATTTGAAAGTTCTTTTGTTTCTTAACAATTTTTATGTTCAAATTATTGCAGGCTGCTTTCCTTTCTGCTTTGGCAGGGACAGAGGTTGCACAAGCTGCAGCTCAAGCTGCTCTGAGAAGCTTGTCCGATGTTTACAAGTCAAGTTGAAAGATCGAACCGCCTGCAAATTTCAAATGGAAACTGAATGAATTTTATGACAAACAAATAGAATTTATTTCAATCAACTATGCTGCATAATTGCATATTTCAGCACCAAAACATTTGTTCTGTCAAATATCTGAATATTTCAATTATGAAAAGAAGTTAACCTTCTGAACCTTGGAAGCATACTTGTCTGTTTCTTCATCCCCATACTGCATGTATGCAACAAGATAAAAATCATTGCTCATCAACATTTAGCTCTAGACTCAAACATTAGACACACATAGACACTGTAATATATCTAACAGTACCTGTCCTGTTACTGTATACAGTCTGTTATACCAGCCATTTGTTAACATCCCAATACAGAATGTCCTGGTTGCATCTAAGCAGAGGGACTAACATACATGTATTGATCTATGATGTTTTAACATTGTCATGGTTGCATCTATTGCTGTCAAAATTTGGTTTTTCATGCTAAAAACTTGTTTGTATTTGTTTTGACAAACCGATTCAACCCAACCGATTCAACCGTTTAAACCGATAATCCGCCAACCGATAAAACCGAACTTAGTCTTGGGTGAAATCGGGTTCAACTTTTTCAACCGTGGATTAGTTCGGGTTAACTATTTTGAACCCGAACCCACCCATAACCGACCGCCGTCCACCCCTACCAAGTAGCATTACCAACGCTCAAAATGATTCAATATGCACACTGTAGCAGCATTAAACAAATATGTATAATGTATTACATTATGACTAATGACTATGACATGACATGTTAACTGAAATCATAAAAACATATATGACAGTAAGACAAGATGTATTCATTTAACGGTTTTCTATAAATTTGAGCATTAGTAAAAGTTAAATATATATGCCTTAGAGCCATATTCAGTTGTGAAGTAATGTCACATCTAGTAGGTAGTATTAAAGAATCACGTAGAAATATATGATGCCATGGTCAATGCATCACATCTACCATCACAATTAGAAGTGTTTGAAACTATCTGCATAGACATTGAAGTATAATTGTAATATTTGAAAGCAACATATAAGTAATGAGTAAGAATATCAAAGTTGAAATTGATAATTGCATTATCTTTATAATTGAAAGTATTATCCCTGAAATTTGTACCTCAGTGTCCGACTCAGCACAAGTGATGTGCTCAGTGAGGTATCATCTATCACATGTTCACGTTCACCTGTACTCCATGAAATACCACTTGAGGATTGGATATTTAAATTATCCATCTCACCAAGTAATTTAGTAATTCATCGATTGAAGTTATCGACCTTCTTTAAGCTCTCATCGTTATCCAATAATGTGGACCTCACAGATAAGAGATAACTAACAGTTTCTTCGCTAGGAACGTCATTTACAGAATTAAAATTGAGGTCATATTGTTATTGTTCGTCTACCTTTTCTTCCATATAGTTTCGTTGTGTAAACTTCTCTTTTGTCTCAGCGTGAAAACTGAACATAACAGGATCAACGCAAAGATTAAAATGAACATGAAATATGAAGGGAGGAAAAATAAAATACCTTGGGTCTTCAATGACACATACATATCGTAGAATATTTCCATTTAAAGCTGCCTTCTTAACCTGCTCTTGAATATCTATATCTAGCAACAACAGCTCACAACCCAAAGAATATCAACGGTCATTACATCATGCCCAATTTCTTTGGAATACAACCTCTCAACCTGTTAAATATATAAAATTATTAACATAAGGGAAAAAGCTAATTAAATATAGGAAAGGTGAGACAGGGAAGTAAAATGTGAAAAATGGCATACAAACCTGAATTATATCTTTATTAATCTGACGTTCAAGTATTCTAACAAGAATCAAAGTCTGCTTTAAATATTAGCCCCAAAAGCAGAATGTTTGTATTAGGATTTAAGGTCATTTTAAATTACTATTCATAATAATACATTAATCTTCATCCATAAGTAGTGCAGAAAGTCCCTTGATAAGAAATGGACAACTAAAAAGTTGATAAACTCCAATATCACAACTTTGAAAATTAAACTTAATCCCCATTAGCCAAACACACCACAAGAAATTTGCTAAAATATGATACAAATTTGTGAGTATTGGATAAAATAGGAACAACTACAAAAATTAATTTTACAGTAGAAAAAAAAATCTTTCTTGCAACATCTATTCCACCAAGGTTGTCACATGGATCTGCAACATGACAGTACACATAAATAATCCAAACATTTAAAGGTACTTTATCGAAAACTATTTGTATATCAATAAGCAAATGGAGCCTAAATAATACACTTTCAAAAGTAGATGTCAATAAGCTGGTTCAGTGTACCACAGGCTTTTGGCAACTCTAACAACTTGCCTCAGCGGTTTTCCATATTCAACCTCACTCATTAAATATCTCAATGTTTCTAGTAAGAATATGCAGCATATATTCCAATATTAACATAACAAAACTTTACATTTATACGGAAGACTATCATATATGAATTTGTGATCAAGCACAAAGAGTAATATCTATGTGATGTAAACATACAATGATGAAAGATATCATACGACTCAAACTTCCAAAAATCCGATGAACTGGTTTGCCAGATAAGATAATGTGATTCAGATATGTTACTACAGGAAGACCAACACAAACCTTTAAAAATATCAAAATCAAATCCAGACCAGTCATAACTCCTCAATCCATGATTTTTCAATATTCTCATGCTATAAGATAATATCACTGTTACATTTAAAATTAAAATGAAGTTTATATTTCAAGTCCTTTTTCTTATGATTTGGATTTCGGATTTCCCATATTTCTATATACGTATAAGAAAATGATTGAGTAAAACACATTCTTTCATGATTTTTCCCTCCTTATTTTTAGAAGTTGAGATTATACCAAGATCTTTAATAGGAGAGTTCAAATGAGTTCTTATTAATATTCTTCTTAACTAATTTGATTATTGTTCATAAATGATAACTGTAATACCCCAAATTTTACCCTTATGTTTAGTCAGTCATTTCGCATAGCATCTCATCTGTGCATCTGCTAACCACTATCAAGTCATGGAGGTATTTGTTTTGCAGGATTGGATCCAGGGGTATTTTGGTCATTTTACGTGGAAGACGGGCTGTTACTAAGTTTTGAGGCATTTGAGACCCTAGTTCTGAGGCATTTATTTATCACCGGGTTTGATTATATCAAGGCGCCAATTCCATGTGTTCGGTATCGAAATTTGTCGGGCACAGCTGGATTTAAGACCTAGTTTATCACTCATGGTTTATTTCCAGAGTACTCCCGATGCTGTTAATAAGGCACAGTTTTAATGGGGTATTATTGGATTGTTGCTCACAGTATTTGGTCAGTGGAATTCAATTACGGGCAAGGTTATCATTGATATTGAATCTGTGGTGATTACAGCGTGCATCCGTGTTTGGTTATAAAATGGTTGGTTAGCATTTAAGTTGGAATGCAATAGGAATTTAATCAAGTGATGAGATTATGACTACAAATGAGACACGTGCATGAACAAGAATATCATTCGCGAATAGTTATGATTTATAACTAGAATAATGAATTTAAATATTTGTGGATTTATTCGCAAATGTTTGCAATTTATAACTAGAAGTAAACATGAACAATTTCAAAGTTGAATGATCATGGATAAATGGAAACTTGTGGGAATTTTTATTTCATAAAGAATGTCATGGTACAATAGGAGTTGAATCATTTTACATTCTGAATTGCTGTAAGATTAAATTACAAATATTACATTTACTCTAAAAATCCTAAATCCTAAAGATCTCTAAGTGTCCTTCATGATGTCCCTTGAGCTTCTCCACGAATCTCCGATTCACCTGCACATCAAAAAGAAACAAAACAGAATGCAGGAATGGGTTAGAAATTGTTTTCGACACTCTCAGAACAGCGTCATCATCGAGTGCCGGGAGTGGCACAACCGAAGCTGCGTCCTACCCCCGTTACCGATCCGCGTCGTTGGCGTCAGATCAGGTAACACCTGTTCTTATCATTACGGGACATCCGAGAGATAGAAGTGATAAAAGAAGCGGGACTGATTCGCTCTTGCCGCAATTGAATTTCCAAACTGATACAAAGGCAAGTTTGGACTCAGACCCGGATGCCGGCAGGTCTGAGTCGTTTTGGTTTCGAAAAATTCCAACACCTGAAATTCCACAAACAACATCAGTACAAAATTGATAACAGAACTCAAAGTAAAACAATTCATAAGCTGCATAAACAAAACAGCAACTAGGAAAAAGGAAAGCCCGCGCCAGTACAATTGTGAAAAGGCACAAAGAAACAAATCTGCCACAAAAGTTCAGAATGCAAACCAAACCACATCGGAACGACACTCGTAACAGCACCATCAAAAATCACAACAGCAGCTGAACCAAATGTGAACTCAGCTCACAGAGCATCATGGAATTCATATGTCATTGGAACAGCAGACACAAGGATAAGCTTGCCGCAATTGAAATCCAAGCCAGCACATGTGTTATCACAAATGCGGGAAACCGGGCTCAGCGCGGAAAACATCATTGCCCAACAAACAAGTAGCGAAACCAGCTCAATTCAGAAATGGAAGAGTAAGTGCAGGTCAGAGGATTAAGTTCAGATAACAAACTATAGCAGAAAGACCTCCAACAAGTCCATGAGCCATAAATCCATCACCTGAAACCCGAAGAACAAATCAATCTGGATAACCAAATACACAACAAAACCATATCAGAAATAGTGGAAAGAGGTTCAGATCAAACACAAAATCGCAACAAGCCCAGAACTCCTGTTCTGAACCGCGACATCATCGAAGAATATCCCTCGAAGGCTCAGAATATCATCATCATTGCCGTATACCATCCTCAGCGACACCAATCCGACCGTATCTGAACTACCAGCTTCTCTCTGAAAGAGGAAGAGGAAAAAAATCCATATCTGCAACAAAACCAGAAACCATATCAGAAAAATAGCAGAAAGAGATTCTGATATTGAT